GTGAGACTTTCACGAGATGTGGTTAACTAAGTCGAGATAGATTTCACTTGATTTCACCAACCGAAACGTCGCAGAAGTGAAATTTCTCATAAAGTCACGTGTGGAAAGACCGATAATTTAATAAGGAATTAAAACTGACTTTGTCAGATGCATTTGTAAGCATACTAGTTTCTGTGAAAAATGGTAAGTTTCCTGACGTAAAAGCACCGATTACTTTCACGAAAAAGGTGAGGCCCACCGAATCCAAAACTTTTCATTGTTGTCCACTGGTTGTTTCTCGGGATGGGTTTTTTCCTTCCTCTGTTACAACCTTAAAAATAAGAACCCTTTTAAAAACCCTTATTAAAATAACAACGTTTTGAAGTTCTTATAGCGCAAATTTATGGGCCTACTCGCAGAAAAAAGATGGTTCTTCACAGAAGAAGCCTGTGAAGAATATACTTTTAGTCAACTGACAGACCATCTTTAATGTGTCATTTATTGACGAAATGCTATCCCGCACGTTAATTTCTGTGCCCTTTATCCTTTTTCAAACTGAGGTCTAGTAACAACTTGAGAACTTTAGTCTACTTTTTAGCTTCCTAAGCAGAAGAAGGCGGCTTTTTCCCTTGAGTTAAAAACAGCCTTTATATTAGAACACATGTCATCTAGATAATGTAAGGCTTACTTTAAAGGTTACAAAAGCACTACAGTCTCATATATGTGTCCAAATATTGCTCAGGATATCATTGCAGTTCCGATGTCTTTTTGTATCGCGAAGTAATGTAGACTTGTCCACAAAAGGGCATCTTATTTTATTATCGGTATTCAAAACAACCTTCTTATCGTTGACTTTATGCGGCCACTTATAGGATCTCTGCACATACCTAAAAAATATGCATATGAGCACGAAATGTTTTGCGTATTGAAGAAAGAGACTGAACAAGCACCAAAAATGTTTTATCTTTCGTTTGAAATACAGACTTCGTCATTGTTCTTTAAAGTTGTTGTTGTCTCTGGAGCACAGATCTGCCCAGATTCATACAGTTTTTAATGCTGGTTGTGCTTTTATGTTCTTGAAAACCGAGCCTTGACTGGCCTAAAAAGACTGAAAACCAGGTTTCCAGATGATGACAGTCGTTTTTGTGAGTCCCGCTTTTTAAATTGATAGCATTTAATAAGGAGGTATGCCAAGAATGTGCAACTGAAGTTTACGGTGACTAGTATTAGAATATTAATTTATAATAACAAGAGGTCAATTACGGCTCACATTTAAAAATAGTCGTTGAGCGATTATTCGAAATTAAATCTCCTAGAGAAAGTTGCTTTTCCAGTACGCCTTCAGCTGATTAGAAACTGCCACATCTCTTGGGGTGCCTGTGACCGGTCGTCTAACTTATGGCCATCATATGTCATGTGTTACGTCACCCAATAAAAGTGATAAAATATCCCATGAAAAATGGAAGCACAATACAAGAATGTCTGAACTAAATTTACTCCAGAGTTATTGACCACAATTAACTGAGATCCACGAGAAAATACGGAATGGTAATAATTATAACCAGTTCATATCCAAATATCTGGGTAAAGGTTCACCAGTGAATATGCAACTGCAGAATTTAGGTCACTTTCGAAAACAATCCCTAGCACAAACTTCTAGAACAAGTACTGATTTCTGAAGAAAGGGCAAAGGACATGGCAGATATCCACACTAGAATTTTAGGAATATGGAGTTATAAATTCAAGTGTAAACTACTTTACTAGAGAGTGTGCGTTAGGAAGAGTTATCTAAAAACTTGTGTCGTCAATTGCTACAATTTAAAAAAGCGGAGGTCTGAATTGCCGTAGACTGAGCTCATTTTATTGGCCTTATTGCCCGTTCCTCTGCCCTGTTCTGTCTTGTGTCAACCTCAGTTACAGATACAGCCAAGAACTGAAAAAAGTAAAAAACAAGAAAACCACCAGTTCATCCTAGGATTTATGTGCGACTAGAAGATGTTAAAAACTGTAGATTAACCATCGGTAAATCCACAGTTTTTTGAATTAATGTTACGATTTTAGCAATTAGAAGGCAAGAGGATAGTTCACGGTAGCCGTTTTTCAAGTTACTAGGCTTCTATTCCAAAATTCGCCATAGAACTCCTTTTTTCCACAGCTTGAGTTAGAATACTGGGCATGGCAACCAAATATAGTAAGCTAATGCTGATATGCGGATCATAATGAAAAACCTCGATTAGTTTTATTTCGTATAAAACGCACACTCTCATTCCTCGTCTGTTTGTCGGGTTTACCGTTTAGTTGAAAAGAAATCCCTGCGGTTCCAAATGGTAACGCTCGATATTTTGCCAACCAGATTATTTGGCCGACCGTCAGGAAATATTCTCAGAAATTTTTAGCAATCAGCCTTTTAATCAACAACAGTAAAATTAGGAGTAAGGTTATAAACTTTACCTAAGCTTTGCGTGGTTCAATAGCACAGAGAAATATTAAGAGGATTGTTGAAGTCGACGATTTTTGATCTGCAAATTTCACTTCGCGTTTACGAGTTTATTGGAGCAGAGTAGGTGAGAGTTACTTTCTATTGACTTGCAAATGTAACATAGCTAACTGTCGTACTGACGGATGATCAGAAATAGAGCGAAGACGTAAATAGGCGTGGTTGGCATTCTAAATTATAAACATTAATGATCTGGATACTACTGTCGTTTTAAAAGCCAGCGCAGCTCAGAGCAAGTTAACTTAAATTTCATATATGTTTTCAGGCATAAACTTCCGATCAAATGAATTTTCCCTATAAAGGATTGCCTTGATCATCTCTCTGTGTGGTCACAGAAAAGTAATCCCCTATCGAATACTCAGAAATCACTCCAGTGTATTTTCCGACCGCGACCCTCTCCTAGTCCTGAATCCTTAGACATTTTTCCCAACGAGCTATCCCCTTTCAACTACCTTGGTGTTAATCTGACATAAAATCTTTCATTGTCCCTCAGTATTGAAGTCCTCTTCATTAAAGCTCGTAAACTTCCATATCTCATTCGTC